GCCTGTGTTCTGTCTCTCTGAGCAAGTGAGGCCTTTCCCATGCCTGAGGGAGGACCTGTCTTACCTACAATAGCTGCTGCTCGGGTCCCACCATGATCTCCACAGAGCCTGACCCTCCTGACATCTGAGGGCACAGGCTGTGGGTACATATTTCCAGACCCTGCTGGTGCTAACCTTGGGCGCGTGCCTCCACCTCTCTGGGCCTTGATTTCCTAGGCAGACCAAAAAGAAACACTGCAATTTACTGCAGAGGATTGTCGGGGAACTAAAAAGCCACAGTGGGGAGGCCAGAGAGATGGCTTGGCAGTTTAAACGCTTGTTCTGCAAGCATAAGGTCTGGAGCTGGGGTCTCCAGAAACCCACAGAAATGCCTGGTGGGAATGACAGCCGGCAGTAACCCCATACCCAGAAGCTGGAGACAGAGGATCCAGGTTACCTGAGAGACTGGCTCAATGAATAAGGTGGACAAGCAACCAAGGATGATTCCTGACATGGACACACAGGAAGACACACAGACAGATGACAGACAGACACACAGATACTAGGGGTGGGGGTGGAAAGAGAAAACCAAAAGCTCCAGCAGCTGGGGCAGGCAGAAGTCCTGTTCCCCACGAGAACACTGTGGAATCCCTCCCCTTGACGTGGGCTGGGTGTGGGGAAGTGGATCCTGGGTTTGGGTGGGGACAAAGGAAAGGTATTCCTTCTTATGTGTCCAGGGAGTCACATCTCGCCGTCACAGTCCTTGGGTGAGCTAGCCTTCTCCTAGCCTTGAGGAGGTCAGTTGTCTTACCGTGGAGGCAGCTTGCTGGGACCACAGCCCCCAGACGCCTGCTGAGGGTCACTCTGGTCCTCACCAGCAAGACAATGAGCCTCCATTCTGCAGCAGCCTGCAGTTAGCAAGCCTGGTCAAGGATTATACCTCGGGTGAAGTCCCAGCCCTGGGACACGGAGGTGGGAGGGGATAGAGTCAGGGGTTCAGGAAACCGCGGACATTTGTTCCACAGCAGCTGAAAGCTAAGGCTTCTAAGATGGTGTGATGTGAGGGGCCAGCTTGGATGGCAACTGCTACTATAGATGCAACAGGTATGGGTCTGTCTATCAAGGATACCAACTGCTCAGCTGGAGTAAGCGTCCAATCTGAGCCACGCTCACCCTTTCCTGGCTTTGTTGAATATCTGGGTGTGGTCAGTTGTCAAACAGATCTCCTTTTTCTAATGCTGACTTACTCTGCCATCAGGCCCTCAGGCTCACCCCCCCCCCCCCACTGCCATCTCCCCTGCTGTCAGAGTGAACTCACACCTGCCCCAGGACACAGCCCCAGAGCTGGGCTGACTCTTTGCACGGGGATGCCTATGTTAGCTTGAGCAGGCAGTAGGAATCAACCTCTGGGGCGGAAGAAACCTAGCCACCCACTAGCCCCCACCAGCTGGTGGGGGAAGGAAAGCTGTGTGAGATCCTGAGTAGACATCCAGCCTGCCCTGGTCTCAGGAGCCCTCACACGCCTCTCCAACACGACCCTGCCCAAGCACAAATGCGTCCAGTAATGGGAAAAATGCAAGCCATTCTTTCCAACCACAGAGCTGGTGGAGCTCCCAGCAGAGGACAGGGATGCTGACCTGGCAGGGCCTCTGGAGGAAGAAGGGGTCACAGGACAGGTAAGCTTTGAATGGGCCTGCAAAATGGCTAGCATTCCTAGTCAAGAACTGTCTGGGACAGACCGTCAGGAGGAAGAGCGCCAGGCTTGAGAGTGTTTAAATCACATTTTGTACTACATCTGCTGGAATCTAGTTCCGTGAGCCAACCTTCCTCCAGGGATCACTACATCAAGCGAACTCCAGGGCTCCACATCTCTGTAGATGTGTAGACCTTGGTTACTGTGTGATGTCAGCTAACTGGTGACACCAGCCACTGTTCTCAGAATGACCCATCAAATTCCTATAAACTGACAGGGATCACTATGCCTTTTACAGAGGTGGTAACTGAGGCCAGAGGGGAGAGCCAGCTCATCAGAGATCCCAGGAACAGAGCTGGGTGTGCCTCAATAGTAGTGTGCTTGTGTAATATGGATTTGATCCTCAAAAGTCTGGAGTGTGTGCATACACACACACACACACACACACACACACACACACACACACACACACCACATCACAGGAAAAGCTGGGATTTGAACCCAGGGAGATAGAGCCAAGCTTTGCATAGACCAGGTTAGCCTGGAACTAATAGAGACATGCCTGCCTCTGCCTCCTGGATGCTGGGATTAAAGTCAAGCTCACACTTGTTGTTGTTGGGTCTTATTTGTAGGGGCAAGGTCTCTCTAGGTAGCCCTGACTGTCCTGGAACTGGCTATGTAGACCAGGCTGGTCTTGAACTCACAGAGATACTACTGCCTCTCTCTTGAGTACTGGGATCAAAGGCATGAATCATAATGCCTGGCCAAGTTCACATTCTTAACCATGTGTTAAACAACACAAGGCTGGCTCACCCTTGGGAGTGGACCACAGACTGACGCAAGATGTTCTTTACAGGGGCAGATGCCCTGATGTGTCTACCCATGGTGTCCTCTGCCTTCTGCACACAAACACTAGGTGCCAGCCAGGTCCCTGGGAAAAGTATAGGACCGTGCCCTGAATCAGGCAGTCTTGCTCTGCTGAAAAGCCCAGGTAAGGCACAGCAGAACAGGCCCCAGAGCAAGGCAGAGTTTCCAGGGTTGGATCAGGGGAGCCAGAGAACTCATCAGCCATCCTGGAACACTGTCCCCAGCTGACCATCTGGAGGAAGTAGCCAGAAAAGGTCACTGAAATGCTCAGGGTAGGGTACCCCAAAGTCTCCACTCCATAAGGTCCAGTTAGTGCTGTCCAGGCTGCAGAAGGGACTCTAACTGGTAAGCAAGGACTAAAGGGTACAATGGCCATGCGGGCTCTTCAGGTCTCTGCCCGCCCCTGATCCTGGACCATTGACTCCAGCCAAACCAGAGGTGGATCCCCAGGTTCAAGGCCACCCAACTGCTTTGCCGTCTCTCCTCTCTGCTCCAAGTGGCCCTTCTGTCCTCATCTCTCATCATCAAAACCACATCTCCCTCGTTTCCACTTCAGGAGAGCAGACGTGGAGCCTGACCGGGCCTTCGACAAAATGTGGATATATCCCTTCGGAGGATGGATACCAGGGTCAACCCAAAAGCCAACCTCTGGGAGCTCTCCCGCAGCAGGTACTTCTCATGCAGGGTGTGGACATTATCCACCCTCTGGATGCTTCTAGGAAACAGAGAGGACCAAGAATTTCTGTCTCGGGCTGATTGCCCTAGCCACTTGCTCGGTGTGGCAGAGCCCCTCTGTATCTACCACGTCATCTACCTGCAGCGTTTGTACCCACGGCGCGTCCTAAGCACAGTGTGTCCTAAACAGCGCAGTTGCCTCTGTGGACCAAGCTTCCTGGGGAGGAAGCAGATGGCAGCTGGGAAACTGAGGCTTAAAGTTTGCCCCAAGTGGCACGTCAGGGGTCCCCCACAAGATGTCTGACGGCAAGTCTCACTGCTATCACCCTTCCTCTCCATGGCGTGGAAGGCTTTCGGGGGGGGGGGGCCCGTCACAGGGGCATCCCTGCGTCCCATGTTCACACAGAGGCTCTGCGCTCAGGGTCTGAGGGACGGAGAAGCCAGTGCTTCAGGCTGGCATCTTTAGGGACAAGAGGAGGATGTCCCTGGAAATGGGAAGCACAAAGCCTTTCCGGGTAGGGAACAGGCTGTTCGGAGGCCCTGAGGTGGGAAGGCTCCCAGAGACAACTGAAGAGCCTGAAGGCGACAGGCGTGATTGAAGGAGGGAGGCAGGGCTGTGTGCTGGAGGAGGGCAAGCTGCTGCTGCTGACAGCTGAGGAGGTGAGGCTGGTGCTAACGGGCCATCAGGAACCTCCCAGCAGAGTGTCTGCGTGGGGACGAGGTGGGGGCGGGGTGGACACACAGTAGGCCCCTTGAAGAACCTGGCTAGGGACACCGCCTCAGCAGTCCTCGCCTCAAGTCCTCAGGAAGTGCCTCCCCAGAATCCATCCTCAATCACAGCCCAGGTCAGCATCTCAGGCTCTACCTACACTTCCTCGGCGTCTCAACTCAAGTCACTCATAGCTGAGAGCGCATGAGGGTGGACAAAGCCTAATCCAACAGCGACCTGCAAGAAGCAGAAGTGAGTGATCCGGAACAAGGGTACAAAAGGTGAGCTATATCTAGACCACAGTGTCCCTCACGGACCCGTCAAAGCAGTGTGCCCACAGTCAGCCACAGGCCTCTTCGCCCTCGGGGCACCCAGCTCCTCCGAGAACTTATTCCCAACCTGTACGGTGTCACAGGGGACTCGTGGGTGGCAGCCTACAGAACACACTCCTGCCTGCGGATTCTGACATTTTCACCATCAGCCCTTCACTCCTTTGGTCTAAGATTTTCCACCGAGTTACTGGTTTTTAATGGCGCCACTCTTAAGTTCGCCAGGGCTTCCCGCACTGTGAGAGAGTCCCGGCTGATCTTTCTTGAAAGAAAAGGCTTTCAAATCCTGGGTTCTAAGAGAGTGGAGGGGGGGGAGGTTGGGGCAGAGACCAGAAGGAGGGGAGAGGGAGGTCACAGGAGGCACAGTGGGTCACGCCTGGGAGGGATGGAGTCAGTCACTCTCCTCCTTTTGGGGAAGGGTAAATCAGAGAGCGCCAGAGCAAGACCCTGAGGCAGCTCCTCCCCTTCCCATTCGGGTTCTGGGACCCCTGTTCCTGTGTCTTCCTGCTGTCCTGGAAGCAACAGCTCTGAACACAAACTTTCTGGGAACCTGACCCCCGCCTGGCTCCCATTCAGCCGTCACCACCCGCCACTGGGAAGGGGTCTCTGAAGACCAAAGATAGGCATGGGGCGCCTGAGAGACCAGGACACTGAAAAACGACTCGCTAAGCAAAGGAGGGAAGCTGTGGAGACAGAGGAATTCCGACCCGGGGCGGGGCAGAGGGGACCCGGTCGGCGGGAGGCTCACCTGCACGACACGGTGATCTCCACCTTGGTAGCCGGGATGCTGCCCGCCAAGGAGTCGAACTCGCTGAGAGACGCCATGTCCTCGGGCTGCTCCATCGCCCACTGTCCCCCCACCCCACCCCAAATTAGTCAATATTCCTGGGCGATTCACGCCTCCTCCGGAGCGGCTGGAGCCCTGGGCTGGGCGGCCAGGGGAGGAGAGGAACGCGAAGAGGGGGCGTGGGAAGTGCGAGCGGGAAGGGGGCGGAGAGCGGGGGCCGCGGAGAAACGGGGCGCGGGAGCTGCTGCGGGGAGGCGGGAGC